CTTCCATCAAGTCTGCTAAGCTGTAGTTTGATTTGCTGCTTCTCGTCTCCTATTTTTTTGTCCCACTCTCTGACACCAATTTGTTACGTCTCCATTCGCTAGTAAATTTTCCGTAACTTCGTTCCGACGAAACTTTAGCGACACAAGTCCTTTCTTAATAAAACTGGTTTATTCTTCCTGAATATAACTTTACCCGTAACACTTATTTTAAACAGTCGCTCTATAACAAACGCTAGAACGTCTCACGTGCTCGACAATACTTAGTTCAATTACTCACTACCTACACACTGTCCCGTCACGTTGTGACCATCTTATATATATACCAGACTACCCCCAATCTAGTAAATGCTAGGGCATTCACGAAGGAACAGGATATTTCTAGAAAACGTGGCGTGACACTAGTCACGTGACCTCGCTGACGCAACAATATTATCATTTCTACACCAAAAGTTTACAATTTTTAAGCCTGAACAGAACATAGTCAGCTGTATTTGCAAATACAAAATCCTAATTCTTTTCAATTTTAATTAAAATTGGCTATCTTCAGTTTTTATAACATCATATTTACCATTTCTGATAAACTCATTCAAATTTGACCAGTCTGTCAGAAAAGGACTTTTAATTTCGAGCAAGGTATCACAATTTAGTATTCCATTCGCACTACCAGACAGCTAATTTTCTTGTATGGACACATACATCGCCTTTTCATAAATATTTAATCCTGTGGATTTTAAATAATCTTTTCCAAGCGACTCTTGTTCAAGTCCATACTTCATATACTTGTTTCCTACAAATTTGGGGTACAAATGTTCACGAATAAAGTTTGTTCAATCTGTACTTTCTTTTATTGGGTACAGAACTTACAGTTATTCTAAGTCTCCGTGCATCTCTCCACAAAGTATTTGCACTCTGATCACAGGTATGTTGTTGTAGTTTGTCAACTTTAGCTTGATCCAGGGCCACAAGTTTCTTAAAAAATATAACATTTTACACAAGACATCGAACAGTCATGGTGTCCATGAGCCTCTTGTACAATTTCACTTGTGTGTGGTTTATAGCTGAAACTTTTGTTAAATTGTTTAATGTTAAAAAGTGGCAATAATGCTAGGTATGTTTTCATCATCTTCTGGCAATATGTCCCTACCATGTTTTGGCTTCTGGAACTGAATAGAAGAGTTAGGCCTTGGATCTATATGTCTTTTAGTTCTTCGGTTCCATGTTACAACTCATCAGTACATGCTATACCCGTATAATTATATCTAACTGCATGTTAACATTTCCACAGAACTGCTCCTACGTGACTGCACGAGTGTCCTTGTCCTGCCATGTATGAGTACCATCCTTTAAAAACAGTCACATCTTGTTTACAATGAGCTTACAATTCATTTGTTTTTGATAAAATTTGTGAGGCACAGACGTCTCCTTTCAAAATAATGTCATTGTTTTCATATGTTTGGTGCAAAATTCGACCCACATTACCACTTTGGAAGTAGTTGTAACTATGCAAGCTTTTAAAGTTTTTAATCTCCTGATCATCGACTGCTCTTGATAATATTAGATAGTTATAAATATCGCCATACGTAACATTTGGCCAATTTCTCATATGATCGATCCAATTAGTAATTTTCTCTAGGCCTGGTGGTTTTGAATAATCACTATCTGATTCTATCTCGGTAAAAAATTAACGATTTGTTGATAGCATGTAAATTTTTTTTATGTTTTCTTTCACTACTACAATGACGCCGGTAATAGTATCGTCTGCGTAGCGTCTGGGTCCGGCATGGCCAGTTAGTTAGGCCGTTCGACTCGCAATCTGAGGGTCGCGGGTTCGAATCCCCGTCCCACAAAACATGCTTGCCCTTTCAGCCATGAGGGCGTTATAATGTATGGTCAATCCTACTATTCGTTGGTAAAAGAGTAGCCCA